TCTCTCTCTCTCTCTCTCTCGCCAGCTGAAACTCTGCATCCCTAAACCGCCAGCCCTTGACCGCCGTATTAACAACTGAAATCGAAGCCTCTAATGCCCGAAGAGCACGACGCCACACTGGCAATGGCAAACAACAACAAAAAGAGGTCACAAGAGTGGTGCATGGTGATGCGTGTGATGACCAACGATAAAGTCACAGCCGCAGCGGTCACAGTGATCCCGATCACTATGATGCTGATGATGCCAATGCAAGTCCGGCAACTGCTCTAGCTGTAGAGACCAAGGTGCAATGCTGAATACTGAAACTGCTCTAACACTGATAATACCAACTACTATCTGACTGATATTTGTCAACAAGGCTTTAACGGCTGCAAGAAGGATAACACTAGCACCAAGCTTTACGGTTGTATGCAATTCCAAAAGGCTGCAATAATAATCTGAAGGCACCCCGTGGACCCTGCACACACATGGTATGTTCGACTAGCATCTGGTTTTTCAAACCCCGACAGAGGAGCTTGAAAGCTAAAGTCAGCACGAAAGCCTGCACCCCTAAACAGCGACAGTCATCGCCGACGGCTCAGCGCAGTACTGCCTCTCGAAGCTCTCGACTCCCAAAACACGGCACCTGTGTTTCAGAAACCCAAGGGTACCCGCTTGTTCGGAACAAATGAAGAGCCCTTCAGCTGCAGGGCTTGCTGAAGATTTCAGGGGTTCAAAGAGCTTCTCCAAGAGGGAATGTCCTACTCGGTCTATGGAGGGATGCAAGCTCAACTATACGGTACTGGGCTCTCCGGGCATGTCCTTTCTGGGCATTTTCCCTAAAGTGGTGTGAGAATACGAGGAAAATCTGAAAGCTATCCCAAATCGAGCGATGAGGGCTGATTGATGCTTTAGGGTTTTTCAATTCTTTATTGCACGGCGCAATTCGCTGCTGGAGCAACACGGGATCAAGCTTTGGTGAGCTGCACGGAGCCGTCCAAGATCTTATCCGGGCTTTTGGGGTGTCGAGGCTCAACAGCCAATGATGTCTCATTGAACACGTGCTGTCTAGAGCCTGCATCGGCGGCAAGGCTTCTGGGCTGTCTCGCAGGGAGTTGGATCAGTTCTAGAACCTAGGATCTAGTTTCTTGGGGAAGTGCATTTGACCTGCACGCTCCGCCAGGGTTCGGGCACAGATTAGGGCGGTTTCGGGTCGATTTGGGGCCTAGACGACTCTTTTTGGGCTTCCGGGTTTTTGTTTGGGGCTTTGAGAGGGTTTCAAGGTTTCGGGAGGGGGGGCTGCTTGGAGGGGTTGTCGGGCTGCTTGGGCAGCACGGGTTTCGGTGAAAAGGGGTCTTGGGCACATGTGAAGGAAAAGGGTCAGCTGCTTTTTGTCGCAGAGGCTGCTGCCAGACTCACAAGGAAGAACGCACGGCGTCATTCCTCATGCTTCACAATGGATGTAGTTCAGGTTCAGGGACCGCTGTCTCGAAGGCTCCGAAAGCGCACAGTAAACCGGTGAGACTACAAACCTCCGATCGAAACCTCTGAATCTTTGGAGAGGGGTAGGGTTTGTTTGATTTGCCTTTGGCTTTCCTTGTGGACTCTCACACTCGGCCTCTCCAGGGTTTAGTGTTAAGCATCAAAACCTGTTACACAGAGTCCAAAACAAGGGCGATCGGCTAAGCCCAGGGAGACAGCTGACCCAGTTGCACTTGCACCACCCTTCTCAGAAACGATTCCGAAGAGTCGCAAAAGACGGGTTGAAAGGCTTAGGCTTAGGGTCTACTTCTGGGCAACTACCCTGATACGAACGCGAGAATTGCCTTTAAACCGACCGGGGGACTGTAACGTAAACTCTGCATAGGACGATCGAACATGAGGAGCTGTATAGAACCCTGCACACCGCACATAGCTGCGGGTACGGCTGTGAAGCTAATGCTTGAATAAGGGTGTATCACAACCACCGACACCAGTAACTCAGTAACGGGTACCTAAAATCAGTTAGGAACTTAGGTTTAGGATAGTAGTAGTTGTAAGTTTAGGGTGTAGGGGCTCGTAAACTCCCATCTGCATACCGCCGGCCCCAAAAGCCGCTGAAAAGTTTTACAGCCGCCTCGGGGCCATTTCATGTGGGCGGACCGACTTGGCCACACAGGCTGGGAGTTTGGTTTCAGATTCTACGTTGCCCGGCTTCGGATCGAGGGTGCAAGTTGCCCAAAGAGCCCAAAAAGGAATATATCTGAAACCCCATATATATATATATAAATATGTATAGAGATGCATCTATGTTATATATATATATACAAAAGTAAACGTGAATATCATTTCTCACGAATTTCGGACCATTCGCTTATGGGCTCTGTGGTGAAGCAATCAGCGGCCATGTGCCATAAAGAGGCCCTTTTTGGCTCCGCGGCCCTGGATACGGCCTTGCGGAACCTGTGAAGCACAGCCTGCAGTGTGGGTCGGCGACTTTGAACACGAACAGACAGGTGATGAGGTGTGACTAAGTCGGCTCTAGATGAGCAGCAGTATTTGTAGTACCAAGGAGTGTTGCGGACCCTCTGTCAGGATCTGCAACTCGCCAAGAAAAATGGAATCGATTTCAGCCCGGCGTATCGTGTCAGAGTCTCTCCGATGGTCTCTTAGATCACAAGAGCCTTTCTGAATGACCTGCGTCAGTGGGCGGTCTCACCACGCAGCGTCTTCTCGATGGACTGAAGCACTTCAGGATCGTCTGCATTGTTGAGGTTGACGTCAAAGCTGCTGTCCTTGCGTGTCCGTTTCTGGAATGCCGAAGGAAACCCTTAGCTGAACCTTGCACCTGCTCCTACTACTGTAGCTTCTTGTGGTAACCGTTTCCGGAATCTGTGGAGTCTTTCAAAGCCCAGTTGAACAAAGCGCTTCCGAGCCTTGTATCAGATTCCAGGGCTGAATCGGAGCTAGTTCTAGGCGTTAGCGACCAGAGAGGATCAAACAAAAACGCAACCGCCAGAAGCTGAATTATGCTCAGAGCAGCGTATAGCAGCTCACAAGCCCTTACCGAAACCTCCCAAAGCCCTAAGTGTCTAACCTCAAAGCTCTAAGACTCTAAGCTGCAATCCCCCTTCCCTGCCCCAGTCGCCAGCTTCACCATGAGGGGGAGCCATGCCTTCAGCATCTCCACCTCAAAACTGTTTAGTGATGGAAAAACGGCTTCGGAAACTCGGGGCTCCAGGTAGCGACCCATGAGAACCCCTTTTGCCTCCACCGTCAACTCCTCGATCGTGGGCTCGTCGACCATCTTGAACCTTGAGGTTTAGCGCTGGGTCACGTTTAGCGGCTTTGAAGGCTTGCTTTGCGTGTTGGACGCCAAGATCCGAAACCCAGCTCCCCGTAATACTGGGGCCCAAGCCCTGACGTTTTTTGAACCCCAAAAGGGTACGCCTTGAGAGACAGTAGCCCCGTGAAATTCCCACTAAACTGAAGACGCAGTCAGCCGGAAGTCGCGAAGATCAGGAAAACCGGGCTTAGGCCTAGGCAAAATCAGCTCTTTCATGTCCTGGGGTCCTCTGGGTCCTGGGTACGTGGAAGGCGTGCTCTTTCGGTCCACGACAGTAAGGGCCCAAAATGGTTACACTTAAAGCCGAAACGCCCAAACCTTAAAGTGCTACACCCTGAAGGCACGTATCACTCCAGGAAACGTTTTGGTACGGACTTTGTACATGTGGCCACCGACATCCACGAGCTGGCCATCTTGTTCGATGCCTCCGGGCTTGGCGTTTCCGATTTCTCGTTTAAAGAAGGAGAGTTGTCACTTACCCAGGTGCCATTCCGTGCTTAAGGCAGTCCCCGAAGGCCTGACCTCCCCACCCAACACAAATCCCAAGGTTTCATCTTTAACACCTACCTTCACCCCAAATGACCTACTGTTGTAAGGACTTATATAAAGAAATCATAATAAGAAACCCTAAAGAGGTAGGTTCTTTAGGGCGCAGGTAGGTCCTGTAAGCATAAGAGCCGAACGCTTCGGGCTTTGGCCTTGGAAAGCCACAGCGTTTATCGGCTTGGGGCTCACGGCTCTTTGGAGCTGCGAGCCCCACAAAAGCCGCTACAAGAGGACCAGGCTTTCAGGCTTGGGGGTTGCGTGTTTGGGTTTAGGGTTTAGGGTTTAGGGTTTAGGGGTTTTAGGGGTTTACGGCTTCAAGCCCAGGTGCTGGAGATGAAGGTACTGGGTCAGGAGGGAAATATGATAGACCCGACATCCCCCACTGCTCTCCTAAACTACGACTGACCTCTGATTGCAAGAAGCACTTCAACAGAAAGATGGCTATGGGCTGCATGTGCATCAAAAGCATCATCTTCCCAGTGTGTTCTCTGGTAGAGAGAGAGAGAGAGAGAGAGGGAGAGAGAGAGAGAGAAGAGGTTCGACCCTGAACATGTCCGACCTCGCTCTTTCATGTAATCCTCCATGGCACTCTGCGTGCCCAGGCGTTCGAAATCCTCTGGATACCCTCTACCAGAGACTGTGGGTTTAGTTGCTACCAGAGACTGTGGGTTTAGTTGCGGTGGAGGAACCGCTTAAGCCTCAAGATGTAAGCCGACAGCGCACCGATGGAGTTGAGCTGTTTAGATTACTCAGAATGTTTCTGGGCAAACTTGCTAGGAGAGATCAGCATGCTCAACTGCATAAGATAGCCGTGCTTGAGGTGGCTAAGTACCTTCCCTCGACGATTACAGCGCTTTCTTGTGACACTGGGGTTCTTGACCCAAACATGTAACCACGGAGAGAGTTTGAGAGCATGTCCAGTTGCGCGTGGCTTCGCAAAGTAAAATTACTATGGATGTCATTCATAGACTGAGAGGTGCCCAATAAAGAACAAACAGATCGGGTCGGAGGCCTGGTTTAACGAGATCCTGCCAAAGACTAGGGTGCAGTGCCCTGTCTAGTCGTATTCATTACAAGGGCCACCCGTTTTAGAAACTCTGAAATCCGAAAACCAATTTTTTGATGATCTTCTAGGGGTGAATAAGTAGTTTTCCACACTATCTATAGTGCGGTCTTTTGCTTGACCGTATATTTTTCTGTTTCAAGCCACATGGTGCTCAAAGCGGGAATTAAGACCACCCCGAGTTCCGGCAACCTCCTTCAATGCCTCACTCCCAGATTGCCGAGAGTCGGAATCTCCGATGGAAATCACGTTCTTCCAGCTCTGGCCCTCTCAGGGTACAGAAATATTTATGCCGGTAGAAGGCCTGAATAAACAGACTAGGCATTTTACTTCTACGTGCCTTTGAGTCCCGGGGCATTTTGCAGCACTTAGTCTTGTTTGTGGGGTTTGTGCATAAACTCAACCCACTCCTCCCGGGGTGCGACTCAAGTCCCGCGAGGTGCTTGATAAAATGATCCGGGGAGGTGGCTGACTTGAAGTCTTTCAGAACAGTCAAATCTTAAACAGCCGTGTGCAGGCATGGGTTAGGGCTTCGAGCGTTGTCATCACCTGACGGAAAAGCCTGGATCTCTTAATACCAAACCGGCAGTTTAGTTTGTTTGCAGCATCTGGCCGCAGGATCCAAAGGGCTCTTGGTTTCACTACCCTAAATAGGGGCTCTGAAGCTCCTATTTTGTCTTGTTCAACATGCGGGGGGCCGGTTTTCGTCGTGGGAGAAGCACGTCGTCACTACCGTAGCAGCAGCAGCGGTTCGAAAAAGTGTTGTCATCTGTAGGCTCACATCAAGTTGAACAAGCAACTCTGGAAGGTTTAGGGCTCCCCCCGAAACCTTACAAGGAAAATGGAAACTCTTCTTCACAAAGTGTCACAGCAGAGCCTCGTATTGAGAGTAGAACTGCCTGCATTCTCGGGCCTGAGTGCGTGTGTGACAACTGTGCTTGAGCCCCGACAACAGTAGTTGCCTCCGTTCCACTCTTAGAGATAGAGACAGGTTCAGGGAAACGGCTTCTTAGTTGATAACCTCGGCCTCGGGTCTATGAACAGACTATGTTTGGTGTTGAAGTCTTCTTGCTCTAGGCCGAGAAGATGTTCAACAGAATCTCTAAAGCAAAGTCTTCCTTCGAGCGGCTGCGGTGCTAAATCTACGATCCTGGGTCAGGAAGATTCTGCGGTCCGTTCTTGTGCTTCCGACCCTTGGGCGGCTTGGAATCTGGAACAGCAGAAGGAAATCACAAAGAAGCGAAGTAAGTCGAGATCCTGAACATCCCGTAAAAGCGAAGATGCTGGGCGAGCGGCTATCGCCTTGCCTTTCACGGCGCTCCAGAACCTTTCGATCTCCTCGCTCTTTGCGGCTGGGGGGACACGGCTTTCTTCAAACTTCGTGCCTTACGACTACAGGCGACTCTATGAAAAGCACATTAGTGGGAGGTAAGGCAGAGTTGTGTGGGAGTTTCAGAAAATTAGCGGTGGGGGGCTCCCGTCAATTTTTTGGCTCCCATGCCGGTTGGGAGCGGGTCAGGCAGTGTCTGAATATGGAAAAATGCCCATATAGTTGGACCTTGATTTGACATGACATCCCATACGACAAGACTAAAGCATACATCCTCCAGCAAGAGCCTGTTTGAGAGGGCCCCTGTTTGCCAGATGGCGAACCCATCTGCAGCAAAACCTGATGACTGAGAGTCTAGGGGCTGTGATCACCGTACTTGCGTTCTATCCCAGAAATCTTCGATCCACGCGGAGCTAAATTCATGGCTTGACCTCAGGATCAGACACCTAGGGCCCGCAACCTGAAATCCAACTCCCCTGCTGGTCCTCGTCAGAAGTCATCTGGGACTTGTTGTAGTCCACCTGTATTCCTTCTTGCGCATAAACGATAGGCACCTGGCGGAAGATCAGTATTCTCAACAAAACATCATGGATCAACAATCGGCTGTCTCAATTCTCAGAGCTGGTCTCTGGAAGGGAGCAATCTTGAATCTTGAGGTTCGTCTGGGCTTGGTTGACAAAGAAAGAAGTTTCCAGTCATTGATTCGCAGCCTAGGTCTGCTACATTCATCCCCTGGCGGTTGAGGGTTTGAACTGACTACTTTGGAAGTTCACACTCTCTTGTCACATGCTTTCGTTTCCCGCTGCATTGGCTGTCACGAAGTCAGCGCGGCCTTCAGCTGGTTGATCAAGCGGCCCACAGAAACATAGAAGTTCCTCAGCACGAAAAGCAAGCCCCCAGGCCCAACACGTCATGTACTCAGTCTCTCGCAACTCGGGCAATGCAGGCGAGGTCGGTCCATGGTTCGCAGGGAGAGGCACATGTGGCCCCAAGTCAGCTAGTCAGCTAACTCACGATGATCCCTTGCTCCAAAAGCCTTGTCTAACCGAAGCCAATCAAAGCATAAAGCTTACGCAGGGGGGCACGGGAGGAAGGGACCCTTGCTCTTCACGAGCTTCCAGGTGACAACACACGTCGTCTAATGTTGCACCAATTAAGTCGCTGAAGGAATAACACGCTAATCCGGAACATTTGTCAAGTCTGTACCAGCTCATTCCTCATTCCTCTCTTGTCCCCGTCAACAGGATAGAGGTGGCAAAGATAACTCAGCAGGCTCGGCTAAACACACCACGATTTTGGGACAGGGAGGCTCACCGGGCTCGGTCATCCACAAAAAGCATCATAGGCGACGCGGAATCTTGACTACTCAGACTTCTTTCAAACGGACTGCTCGAGACTCGACGGACAGCCTGAAGGTCGAACAATCGGTTTGGTACAGTTTCCAATCCCCGCCATGAGGGGCTTAATCGAAAGTTAAGCTTATGGAGATCCCCAACAAAGAAAGACACCTGAACTTCAATGAGGCCCAGTTCGCACCAAGCTCTTCAAGCAACCCTTGCAATGCCAAAGGGAATGGCAGGACCATCTATGCTGCCCTCGGTCTCGGACCAACACTGTTGCGGCAAGCGTCTTGCATGATTCGGAAACCCAGGGTGCTCGCGCCAGGGTCACCAGCACAACCTTTCCGAAGCTGCAGGCACTCTTCAGGAGCTCCACCTGAAGAATTCAAGCTTGCTGCCCCTATGCTCCTAGACTGAGGCTTCTGTATTGAACGAGGTTTGGGGTTGGTTGCTGTCTTCATTGCTGCTCTGCATGCCCGTGCTGCTCGGCCGCACTGGTGTGATCGTTGTTTTACTTTGGCCTTGCAATCATGGTCGGAGTGGACGTCGTCGCCACAGTCGTTGGTTGATATTTCATATTTCTGGCTTTGCTGTCGCCCTTGCTGCTGCTGTCGTCGTTGTTGTTGTTGTTGTTGCTGCTGTCCTCGTCATTGCCTTTGCAGCTTGTATTGGCTGTTGCGGTTGCGGCGATCTTGCCATGATCGCCTTGCTAACATCGACACTGCTGCAGCCGCAGCCGATAAGTATCGTAATGCTGCTGCGGCTGTTGCGAGGCTGATTTGTATAAAAAGGCCACTTGTGCTGCCATGCTTGATTTTCAAGCAAATATCCCGTGCATCGTTTTGAATGCCTTGGGTCGCTTGTGACGAATGGAGTTTGGAGGGCTTTGCCTTCCCTCGTGGATCTTTACGGGGGGGGGGGGGG